GGGGGGTTGGGGGGGGCAGGAAGAAGCAGCTCTGTCAGCAAAGAAGAAACTTTTTACTCCGCCTTAGCGAGGCTGTATATAACTGAATGGTATTGCTCTTTTAAATGAATGACATTTCAGGTAATTGCTAAGATAAAGAAGAATGAATTTACTTTCTCCCAGCTTTCGATAAGAGTTTAATTTCTGGTACTTCTCCTCAATATGAAGCTTTTATTTATATTTATGATCAAACTTATAAGGCAGAAAGAAGACAACGAAGTTTCAGAATGCATTTATACCCCCACACTGTTCACAGCTAAAACAACCTATACCGACACTGGCTGGCACCCCTGTTGAGTCTGTTGACAGTCATAGTGCTACACTAACTCCAGAGACAGTCTCCTCATTTCACATGCTGAAAAGATGACATTTTGCACTGAATTTACTCGTTATGAATTATATGCTGCCTGTTAACCTAAAGGAACAAAAAGCTACTTTCACAAGGAAGCGTGTGTATTTTGTTGTATTTTCCCAATATATTCAGCATCTAGACTGTGACTTTACGTCTGAATGTACAGAAAGAATGCACCAGGAGAAGAGTACAACAGAACAAATCCTTGGTTGTAGATACTTCTAGACAGAAACAAAGCTCAGCAACTATTTGTCTCATACCCTGAAACACTAAAGTAATATAAATATATGAAACTGCCCTCCAATGGGCCAATCACAGGTACCATCAGAAGATGAAGATGCCCAAGACAGGGATTCATCTTCACATGTAGGTACCCAAAGCTTCTCCTCAGTTCCACCATATACGCCAAAGATGGCAATACAGAACTCCAACACTACTTCTACAAAAGAAATGCATTATTTCAAAACAAAAATGAGTAAGGAAATACACGCACAATTAACTCTGGTCAACGCTGAATACCTGTGGCAATAATCTCTCAAAAGACAGGAATTAAACAGGAAACAAAAACAAACAGCACAACCAGTTCAAGAAAAGGCCAACACAAACACAATCATCAAACCCATAACAATAAACACGAATTTCAGGAAGAAAACAACAAATGAGATTATATCAGCAGGAGTGAACAAAAAGCCAGAAGAGTATTAGGACAATCCAAGCTGCCTAAGATGTGAAGTCAGTTGTATTTCTCCCTGAATGCTCACGACAGTCCCAGCAAGTCTTGTGGGAATTCCAGTTCCTCTCAGGTAAATGGGATTCAAAACCTCTTTCCCCGCCTTAAGAAATATGCTCACCAAAAAAAAAAGGTCATGCCTTAATTTTTTGATACTGCTGGCTTTCTAACTTTCTTGGGAGCTACTGATTTTATCTACATGTAGCTACTGTTTCAAGTTACTAGAGGATGGATGTAAGTTGCAAACAGCTTACTACAACAGTAGTTTCTTCAGTCTGTAAATACATTTCATTCCACAGTTCCTTAAAATGCTACCTCTTCTTCCATCTTGTGAGCATGCCATTAGAACTACGCTCTGCAATGCTCCCCTAAATATTCTGCAATAATACAATGCTTAAAAGGTCAGTGGCAACATAAACATGGCATCTTGGTGAACCCAACAGTATTACTACAATGGCTAGAGTACAAGGCAACCTTCTGAACAGAAAAGACTGCAAGATGTTCGACTCTCCAGTGTTATCTGCATTTGCCAGGGTGATACGCAGTCTAAAAGACACCTCAAAAACAAGCGCAGCCAATGAGTCTTGCAGTCACACAAAAGCTAAGATTGCATCTTGCTTGAGTGAAGGGGAACATTTCACTGGCACGTAATGTACCCTAAATCTCCTATTTAGATTACAATCTCCTCAACACCACCTACCAAAGCAGTAGTTCTGTAAGCACATGGATTTCCTAGAGTTTGTGTTCTGTACCTTAGAGGCTCATGCAACCTCTCCACATCAAGTGGGTCTCTCTCGCTCTGTGGTCTCTCTCGCTGGCCTTCAGTGATCCACAGTTTGAAAGCCTGAGCTCATGCAGTCTGTCAGAGACAGGGCACATGCATCCTTTCTTTTATTTGCCCACCAAGTTCTCCTTCTCAGGGTTTTAATTTTCTGCCAATCTTGTCTGGATGTGACAACAAATTCAAAAGTTGAAAGGCTTGAAGTGTTTGGCAGGCAGACACCAGACACAGGTGTTTCCAGAGGAAACTGGTTTTCTGCTTATATATGAACCATCGCACTAATGCTGGCAATCACTTCAGGGTCCTGACCTTCATTTTCAAAGGCCAGCAACAACCAAGCCTGTCATATAAATTCCCAGCTCCCTCCCACTCTCCTCCTCTTGGCTTTTAAGTGGAAGAGAAGGGTTGAGGAAGGAAGTTCTTCACACAACACTATCACAATTTAATCTACTCTTCACATCTCACTTGGCAGAACCTGGAATAAACCTATCAAGGCGCTTACTGTTAAAATCTGGTTAGAAAAAACACAGCTGAACTGAAAAGCAATCACCTTGTACTCAACACACTGCAAGTCTCTTACAGAATGTGATCATCGGTGAGAAAAACATGAAAGCCACTCAAAAAAAACTAAGAGCCATTGGACAAAACAATTTGCACATGAAAGATATGAAAGAAATGTCAATACATATGAGAATGTGCTCACAAGTGCACACTAAACGCCTCACTAAAATATTTAGTTTGGATGTACACTTCATTCACTAGGTCTTAATACTTCTTCAAAAAAATGAGACGTATCAGGCAAGGAAGAAAAACCTTTAGGACTTACTTGTATTTGCCAGTTTCCTAATTCATCCACATCTCTGATATAAACATGATAGTGTCCTCCATAGCAGCCACCTTTATGTATAATAACAGAGAAGAGCTCATACATGTACTCTGAATCATCCATTTCAGTCTTAAAAAAAAAAAAACAAACAATAATAACAACAATAATATATATCAGTAAGTCTTTCACACAAGGACAGTTTTACACCATCAGCACCACTTCAGATATTTCTCAGTGTGTATTCACACGTGCAGATATTGAAATGGCTTTTCAGTGCTGGGGAACACAAGCATGGACTGACACAAACCACGGACCAAGGCACAGATTTATTAAGCAACTTTTTAAGCATGATTATGAACAATATTGGAAATTCAAATTTAAAATAGTGAATTATTGATGCAAAATAGTAGAACAGCTCACCCTGTTCCTTCATAACCAGGCTTATTTTGTTTAAAAGACTAGAGAAAAAACAACACATTTACATATACAAACGAACTGAGAAACAAAAACGTCTTCCTCAGATGCAAAAACCAAGAAATTTCCAAGCTTGCATTGCAACATTTCAATAAGAAAAATGCCCTTTTAAATAACATTGCCTCTATTAAGCCATCGTGTAGCTCAGTTTTATAAACAAAATACATATATATGAATGCAAAGACAGACTCCCAAGAAAAATTAAATAACTACAGGCACATAAAACATGTATATAAATTTATACATGACATTATCAGACAATGACAATACAACAACAAACTTAATTTCAATTTCCAGGTGATAATCCTCCTTTCAAGCAAACGCCAGCTTAAGTTTTAGGTCATTATTCTACCCTTTCCCCTTGTAAAGCTACAAGGTATGTCCCACTCAGTCAAAAAGTGGTCTTTTGGAAATAAATTGGAATTCCAAAAAAGAGGAGAATCCCACAAAGTTTCTTGAATATCTTGCCCTGACAACATGCGAAATAAAAGAGAACTTGTCCTTTAAGTACCAGTTCTCCGCCGAGTATGCAGAAACTTTAAGAAATGTAACAGTACAAACCTGCTCACAAAAAGGCCTCAGATTTATCTGGATAGGGAATGTGTAGCAGCTCGTTTCCTTGTATCGTTCACACTTCTCAAAGTCAAAGTTAAATCTCAGGAGAGAAATGGTGAGAAAGGGCGGCAACTTGCGTAGTTTAGCAGACTGTAAAATGATTAAAAAAAATTGTAAGCAGACAGTTGTAACAGAACAGTGCTTCCACTGTACTGTGGTCAACTGTTTATTTTCCAACAAAGCTTCTTTACAGCCAGGCAGATATGACCAGTGTCTTCATTTTTCAAATGTCTTCCTTAATTTTCAATTTCCCTACCAACTAGACATCCTAAAAGCAATCAAGATCCTTTCCCTCTGCTAAGACCTACACCTTCCCTGAATGGTGATCCGCAGTCCCATACTTTATCCTCCTACAGAAAATGCAGGAGGACACTGCTGAAATTCTAGTCAGTAATTACATTTCCACAGCCCACATGTTCCTTGTGAGAGGATTTTCTTGAATTTTATGCTAAGAAGCAACTGCCTCAAACCCCTGGGTTTGTGCTTACGCATAAAGTCAGACTATCCAGCATCTTCCCAGAGACTTTGCTCTGGACCCCTTGCAACAGTCCCTGCCAACAGTCCCACACAGCCCCTGGGAGCCCAGAGTAAAGAGCACAAACACTCAACTGCTGCTGAACAGCAGGTGCTGCGGCAAAGCCACCAAAACCAAAATAGCTATGAACAAAGCTCAACCTACCAACACAGCTCACATGCTTGCTTCTGCTGCAAGGAAAGGTTTACAGTAAATGAGCACAATGCTGTGCCTGAGCAGCATGGGGTAGGCGTATCCTAGAAGACCCTACAGACAGCCACAGAACAACCAAGCAAAGGTTAAGGTCTCCCTCATTTATACAGAAGAGGACCTTCAAGGCACGAAAGCCAACACAATACATTTTAATAAGGAAGAATATTAATCGAGATCGAACAACTTGGTGCCTGAACACATCAGGAGCCCCTGTGTGAACCAAAACCATCTTGTACTACCACTGAACGTAAGCGTAGATTCAGTGGACATGCTTCTGAGCCTTTCCAATGTCTCCACCCAACTCTCCATGTACAGAGCCATATTAGAGAGCCTCTCAGGAACACACACATGCCTTAAGAAACTCCCTGGAGCTGTGCAGAGCTTAGTGGCACAAAGGCTTTTGCATGCTCTTCCACGTTTACAGTGATAATCGGACTGTACAACTAAAATTTGACAAAGTTCTGGAACACTCGATTCTTCAACTACTAAATTCTCTAGATGCTAAGACAAAAAAGAGGGAAGAATAACATCCAAAGACCCACAACATACTGAAGGGAGGGAAGAATGGAATGTGTAAGTATGGGCCATCATGTCTTTGAAACAGGCTAGGGGTGGGCAGGTGGTCGCACTGTTAGGCAGCTGCCTTCCTATTGCTGCCACCAAGCCCAAAGTGACTTACCTGGCACCTCACTTGCTGCCAGTGTTGAATCTCCCTATAGTCTGCCGTGATCACGCACATCGTGCCTGTGGGACCAGAGCCACAAGCAGCAGTCATGCTGACCCAGCATCCCTCCTCCCCGCTACAGCAGTCTTGCTGACCCAACGTCCCTCCAGGCTAAGTGACTTCTCACCCATATTCAGAGCTGCCACTATCTTCTTGCGTGGATGGTCGCATGTGAGAGGTAAGCAACTCTTTATCTCACACTTCCTTGAATCCAGCAAATTTTAACTAAAACAAGCCCTTACAACCAAGCCACATCAACTACTGGAAAATGTTCCTGGAATCCTGAGTCACTGATTAACTTCACTTATCCTAAGCTTGCCTTTTCACCCACTCCCCTTCCACATGAAGTGTGCCACAAGGTTTGGATTGCACTTATCTTGCTGCAGCAGAGAGTCACCGCAGTAGGCCAAAGAGCTTTGCTGTTGTGAAGCGGGCAAAGTATGTCAAAGGCAGAGTGCACTAACAGCCTATGTCTGCCTCCCCTTTACAAAAAATAGTAGGAATAACAGGAAAAAGGAGCAACCTTATATTAAAAACTTACGACATGAAAAACTAGCACAGAAGAAAACCAAACACCGCTTTATATCATTCTGGAAAAATGCAATTCAGAGACCTACAACTCTCGCAAAGCTCTCACAGTGCTGCCCTTCCCTGGCACTGGCTAAGGGGATGGATGAGAAGACAAATAAGAAATCTTAAATTGGATTACTATGTGGGGGAAACAAGTACAAGCTGTTGTAAACCAACAAACAGGGACAAGCTTTCAGCACAAGGATGCTGCAGGCTGCACTGGCATACAGACAGTAACCAGTGTTAACAGCCATGCCACCATCTAACAAAGCACTCGGGGTCACACACACAGCTCCTCTGGAAGATACAAAAGTCAACAAACATTTGAAGCTTTCCCCTGGTGCCCAGGGGAGATGACAGGGAACTAGGCAAAGGGATTACTCCAGTCCGGATGCCCCTGAACTCCTGGAGATCACTCTCAACAAACACCACGGGTTTAATGTCAACAGTTCTCCCTCAAACACTGAGGAGCTCTGCTGACTCAGCACAGGAAAGGGTCACCGCATTTCGGTTTACAAGCAATATAAAAAAAAAAAACAGCTTGAAAGCAACAGTTCTCACCCATAGCGCAGCACATATCAAAGTAGGGAATTATTAACTACAAGATAATCACAAAGCAGCACAACTCAGATAAACCTGTCAACTTCTTTCAAAAGCATTTTCAAGCTATAGCCTGAAGGAGAAGACTTTCACAATCCATATCTTGAAGCCCAGGAACATGACTTCGCAGCTTCGCTGTGCCTGGATTTTTATCCTCCTTCCTGGCCTCCCAGATGGAGGGAAACTACTGGTGGTGCCCACAGATGGAAGCCACTGGCTTTAGCACGCAGCAAGTGGTTGAAAAGCTCGCAGAGAGAGGACATAAGGTGGTGGTACTTGCACCAGAAGTAAGCTGGCAGATGGGAACACCACAGGCATACACTGTGAAAACACATCCGGTGTCTTTGAAGAGCTGGATGGTTCCTTGCATGAACACATTCTTACTCACCTGAAGGCTCTAGAACTACAGAACGTATTGGAAACACTATTAAGGTGTTAATTTATCTCTGCAAGAACCTGTTCAGCATCAGGGAAACAATGTAATACCTGGATCAACAGATCCCATTTCCCTGTGCAGAGTAACAGTCATTCATTACTTTTCTCTCCCATTAGCATTCTTCATTAGAAAATTTCCATAGTTTTCTTCGTTACACGGATCTGTTTATTTTTTTATTTACACTCTAGCTTATCTTTTAGCCCATCCTCTGAAATGCCCAAAGCCAGGGCCAGTACCGGTGTGTGAATGAGGCACTATTCTCAAAACTACATATCATCCCACTCACCACTGCCTATGTTAAAGGCTGCAACAACATTCAAGTAAAGAAGTGAGTCACATGAGCTGTTCTTGACATAGTTGCTGAGGCTTAAAAAAAAAAAACAGGTCAGATTTTGGCATCCTCTTGTTATATACCATCTGATTAAAGATACAGATTCTGTTATTTCAGAGTGAGAGGGCAGACACAGCAACGTAAACAAAGTTCCTAAACATCAGCAAATTGAACACTAAGAGTCACCATTGAATTACCTTTGAAGCTTCAACGAGTTTATCACAGGCTCCGCATCGATACAAGTTCTCATTTTCAAAGTACTCTTCTTCTACATACATGTTCCACAGTGCCTCCTCCAAGCCAGCAACACCTTTTACCGCCACTGTTAGGTCTAAGAAATCTTCCTACACAGAAGTACAACAAAAAAAAAAAAAAAAAAAAAAAAAAAAAGGTAAGCGGTGTAAGTTCACGGCACATTAGAAAGATGCTCACCCCATTCACCACAGCAGATGTGAGCACTCATTTTGCTTTCATTGTTGACGGGAAGGGGGGAACAAACCCCCTATATCCACGTAAGAGAAGTTAATAAAAAAAAATCCAACCAAACAAGGAATGTTTTTTTAAATTACGAAGAGCACTAAAATAATGTAAAGATGTTTTACTGTTGTTATTCCACTGTTCAGTTCTCTCCTAATCACATCTACTAAAGGCAATGCTTCCTGACTCTGAATCATAGTCTGATGTAGGTGGTTTAGAAAATGCCAGCCAAGACTTAACAAAAAAATGCATAACTTCCACGTTTTCAAGCCTGCAGCACCCTAACCAATACACACTATGTAGATTCAACAAGGCCACCAGTAACACGCAAGAAAGATGTCATTATTTTGGAGTTTAAAAAAAAGCACATATATCTTCAATAGTCTGAACAGAATCCTATCTTGGAAAATTGTCTGGCCTTACCTGTCTCTCACTGATATTCTTGCATTCTTTACAAACAATCTGGTTGACAACAATCCCATGGTACAATCGGTTAATAAGGTCATGACCTGAAGTCCCCACAAGGGAAGTTTCCAAAGCACTGAACAGAATCCGATTTAATTCCTGCACATCATGCTGCCTCATTTCCTGCATGATAAAAAAAACAAACTCGAAGATAAAATAGTGCCATCTGCTTTGCTTATTGCTTAAAAACAACATATATTAAGTGCGACAGACAGGTGCCTCACTGACTACTCATATATTTACTACCTTGAGTAGCAAATTACTACATTTATTATTACTTGTTATTCTTAATTTAGTTATGCTTCCTGAGTAGCTACAAGTACATAAACTATAACCCACATAAGACACTTTCACCTGGGTCACTCTGAGTGACACAGTTCCATTTAGATAAGAATCTAAGTATTTGAGGACAAGAACCCTAATTACTGTTGGAAAAATGTTCCTGTAAAAACAACAGAAAAGCTACTGAAATTGTATGTAACAGAACAATTTTCTTCTGTTGCTTGCTGTAAACAATCGGCATGTACTTCATGTGGAGATACAATAGTATACAACGATAGCTGACCCAATGCAATGCTATCTCCACAGCTTGAAGTATTTTAAGATATTTCTTAAACATCAGACTTCATACAAAAAAAATCTTCTCCATTCAGGAGAACGTTTATCAATGATGGTGTCACTGATGGTGATTTGTACCTCGTGGCTGTTCCACCCAAAGCTCTCGGTAAGGTCTGTTGTAGATGCAGCCTGCTGGTCCAAGAGCAGAAGCTGAGCAAATAACCGTTGAAGTTGTAATGGAATTATTCGAACCTAGAAATAAAAAACAAAATATACCCAACAGATCAGAGTCTTCAAACCAATCCTTTAAATAAGAAGAAAAATAATTTAGTACAAAACTCATAATAAACCACCACTGTCTACGGCTTTCATAACAGAGGTTACTCAATTCATACCAAAACAGCAGTCAGACTTAGCTCCCAAAAATCTACAGCACCTCACCTTACTGAGCCAAATACAGTCATGGAACATACATTTTGTGGTGAAGTAAAACTGCGCGGACTAAAATTAAGCCATCACCATAGTTAACAAGGACAAATTTCTCTGATATTATTCATAATACTAAACCCTAGGAACTCAGCTACAAGACATCATGACATAGAGATTTATCATGTGCTGCTCCTCGCTCAGTAAAGTGTTTGGTAGGGGGGTGGAACGAGAACGGTTAATGTCAACAAGCTTGATCAGCTACCTATATTTATCATTGACTTAGCGAGCAAACAATTTTCCAGGCAACAAGTTGTGTCACTTTGAGAACTAAAGAATGAAATTTGTAGTCAACTTCACTATGAACTTTTTAAACAAAGATTAAATTCCAGTCCCATATCATCCTGCGCACGGGTGGGCTGTTAAACCTTCAGACAGCCACAGTGCAGTCACCTAGGCTACACACACCTCGGTTTTCTTTTTTTTTTTTTCTCATGGTGACAAATCAGTTATAGCACAGTAGCTGTATTAGAGAAGAGAAAAACCTGAAAAAGGACTGTACAGACTTTGGGATTGTTTCTGCTCCCCTTGAAGACGAAATGATCTCTGCTATCCATTTCAGCAGTAACAGGCTCAACATCTTACTTTTGAAGCAAAAGCTTACGGCACTGAAAACTTACATCTGTGTGCAAAATCAAGTATTGGCCAACCAAACTGTCCTTCGGCAGCAAAGTTAGGCTTTCATTCATTCTCGTGAGAAATTTCATGCAAATTGAAACAACAGTCTTCCAATCAAAATTCAGCACTGACTAATGACAAGAAAATTCTAAACACCTTTGCATCTGGTTTACTGCTATCATCCAGAGTCCCAAGTTCTTCAGGTCCTAGAGAGAACAGCGCCTCTGTAATTGTAAAGAAAAATACCTATTTAAAAAAAAAGAGACAGTGTCTCTTCTTTAAACATTTATTATATTTTAACTGTCAAGCATTTTGGTGCTATTCTTTTTGGCAAGTTAAGATACTAAACAATTTCTGAACATCACTGATCCTTACAACTGGTTCAAGCTATAACAACAAAGCAGAAGTAAACATGAAAGTGTTTAGATGGCAAAATATCTGTTTTTTCAGGAACTGCAGTGGTTTCATCAAAAACACGAACAGCACTTTATAGACAGCAATAACCTCCCTTGTTTACACAAACTGTTAACTGTCCACATGTAAGAAAAGGTAATGTTTCCAACACTTACACTTAGTGCAGAAGTGACGATACTAATTTTACAGACCAATAGCTCTGAGTAGTCTGTAAAAACTTATTTGCAGGGAACTGAAATAAACTGTCCCTGAAAACAATCTCTGTGTGTGGTGTTTCTTTAACAAATAACTAGAAATGCAAGTCACTGTAAAATACTAATTCTATCATTACTTTAAGATGTTTTTGAACACATTACCTCTAAATTCAGGTGTGAAAAGCAGAGTCTGCAGAAGGGAATTGAGGTAGCAGGTTCCACCCTGATTTTTAATACCACTTAGGTTGGTGAAATCCCTGGGAGCTGGAGGCTCAGAATCTCTGGGCTTTGATTTCTTCTCTTTTCCACAATGATTATTTGATAGAAAGGAAATATCCTCTTCAAATAAGTCCCCAAACATTATGAAGGCAAAACAGTCCTTAAAAAAAAAAATATTTAACACTCTGTTTACTAACAAAACCTGCAATTGAATACATCCACCTCTAATCCTCCAAGATGAACCTTTCAGCCCTGACTAAAGAACTTGTAACTTTTTTCATCTTATTCTGTTCATTATAAAAATGAATGTCAGATCCATACAAAAGTGTACATTAATATGAAAAAAGGGTGATTTAAAACTCATTCTTCAGGGAATTTTTTTCAGTCCTTTTTGGAAGCTTTGTGACATTTTAGCATATATCAGGATTCCCAAAGCTATCTCCCTTTCCTCTTGTACTTGCCACTCCGTAATTTCATTTGGTATTCTGCAGCTCTTGTATTAGCAGTGAGTAATCAATAAGTTACACTGAATCAGTGAATAACCATTCTCCTGTCTACTTTCATTCCACTTGCAATTTTACAGATCTTTACCATGGTCCACTCAAACACCTCTTCCAGACAAAAGCCTCCACAAAGACGTATTCACTCCTACAACTGAGCTCATCCTCTATATTCGATTACCCTTATCTACCTCCTCTGAACCCCTTACGCTCCTCCTTTACCTGCTTCTGAGATCAGAAGACCATATCTACCTACAATGTTCAAGAACTCTGCAAACCGTAGCTTCCTATAGCAAATTAATAATGCTCTGCTTTGTTCTCCTTTTGTACAACTGCTGAGCACTAACTACTCTTTTTTAAGGAAGGTTTATTATTACCTCAAGGTCTCACTCCCATATGTTCACGTCAAACCCCACCACTACACACACACTTTACAGAAATACATGTGTGTATATATATAACTGTACGGCTGCGATCGTCTCTGCCCCATGCTACACCTCTCTGGACTCACCTACAACGAATATTATCTGCTATTGTTTCATTCATCTGCCCATTAGCATAAAGACTTTAAAGTTTCACTGATGGCACTTGTCTCTACTGCAATATATTAGTCGATGTCACAAGAAAAATTAATCATCTCAGCATTCACTGTTTATTTCTGACAGTTTATGATATGCTGAACACAGGCCATAGCAAAGACACAAAAAACTCCCCCTCACTCCCCTCGGTGACAGCTGATCTTCTGTTTCCCACCTTTTAGCTAATTATATCATCAAGCAATAACTTTCTTCTCCTGTGTCAGCTTAACTTCTTTCAGAGCCTTTGGTGGCAAACCTTCTCGAATGCCTTTTGAGAATCCAAATGCAGTTGATAGCTCCCTGTTCAACCAACTCGTAGCTCTTCAGGCATCTCCTAAAACTCCTTTTATAAAACAGAACTACATTAAGCTCATTTTGGTCCTTCCCAGAGCAGAGCAGTTTTTAGGCAAAAGGCTATGCTCAGAGCAGCTGACTATGAAGCAGTGTGGCAGTGTTGACTGTGCTTATTCTATAATGCTTCTTCAGCACTTCATACAAAAGATATCTCCCTGTAAACCCCCACAAAGTAGAATTACATGGCTAGAGATCCTTCTTAACGAACACAGACAAGAAAGAAATAATTTTGATCTCTTTGCATTAGTTTTTTCTCCTCTGAATGCAGCTCTTCTATCTTGATCACCTACAAAACCCTCAAAAACCTGCAAAGAAACCACCTCCCACGCTTCAAGACGTAATTGCTAGGTTTATCACTC